TGAGAGTTGGACGTATGGTGGGGAGGCAGCAGTCACAGCCCCTATGTCTAATTTTTTTTGCCACACACATTAACTAGGGACAATACTCTGGCATGGAGCATGCGCAGTATAGATTTTTACAGTAACCCGTTCACTTTAGACACTGAGGTGGGGCATTGATCCCGGTTTTTTTAATTTATTTTTTGCTTTTTTGTAATGATATGTTTAATAATACTTTCTGCGACACTAGGTGGGGCTGTGCCTGCCCTTAAATGAACAGTCGCCACTGTCTCCATGAACATTTTCCGGAAACAATAAATAAGATGATAGTACTTGCATTATTGTTGAATAAGATAAGGAGAGGTGATTACGAAATCACGCAGCAGACATTTCCCTGGCGACTTTCTCTTCTACTCGAATGTATGCCTGCAACAAGTGCCAAAGCTTGCACCTCACACTTGTGTGTGGTGGTGTGACTGCAGTGTTAAGAGTCCTGTCTGTGGCCCCACCCACCCTCACTTGACACGTCCTGGTGTGTGTGAAGCGTTGACTCAGCAGACTACCATTGATGTATGTGGTGCATGCATATAGAATATGTTAGTGTGTGTGTGTGTGTGAAGTGACCACACGACTGAGTCATCGTGTCCTGTGTGTGTGTAACGGCGCTGGAACAGTTCAGTCATCGAACATGAGCACTGACCGCTGTGGAAAAGCCTCTGATAGCTTCCTGATCTAGAATCAGCTGTTCAACCTCCACTCCATTCATAAGCACTTAACATTTTAAAAGTAGCAAAGAAGGCTAATCACAACAGTAAAAATAAATATGAAAAATAAGTATGAAACTCTACTATTTTGATGCATCTGAATAATCAAAATAGTAAGGAATTGCTCGACTTTCATATGGCTTGAATAAATGTGCCTTAAAATAATATTCTGCTTCAATCAGTATACCATCGTGTTCATATTTGAGGTTTCAGTCTTGAATTGTCCAGGCCTCAGGGACTCTTTTGGTGTTAAGATCATAGAGGATGCAACATATAACCATATGAATGCGGTTGCAGATTTATGAGGCATTGCTTTTTACGGCGACTCTGCCTAGCAGTTCCCATGCTCCGTGCTAATCTAAAGGGTAAGCATCATACCGATACTGGATGCATCCATGTGATCTGGTTTTCATGTTGTTTCCCCCGTTTTATTTTTTAAATGTATTATGTCCTTGTGTCTTGTCTGGTTTTACTCCTGTCTAGTCTTCCACCTGTGTGATTGTGTTCACTGCTGCCCTTGTGGTTGGGTACAGTGCCTCCCACAGCTGTGTCTGACTACGTGGATTAGTCTTGTGTGTATGGTGGTGTTTCTCAATTGGTCGAGTAAGCTGCTCCAGAGCCACTATCTCAAGCATACTACGTCATTGAGTGCCACCGAAGGAACCATGAGGGTGTTTCTCAATGTCCGATACGCTTGGCTTTGCTAGCACATGTCTCTGAGTCACTTCCTCAGAAGCCGAGGCAAGAATACTTCCTGCATTCGGAAAACTAAGATGGAACAGGTAGCAAGTGTGCAGGTGCTGCGTCATAGAGGCCCCGGCGCCTTACATTTTCCGTCCACAGATTTGGGTAAAGTTGGTCCGTGCGCAAAGCATTGTGGGGATTTTAAGACCGCGAAGTCTACACATGTGCAGCATCGAAATTTCTCGCTACGAAGTACGCCGGGCTCGGTAGAATTCCAAGTATGCTGGACATTGGAACAGGCCTTCGGCGGGACTCGATGACGTCGTAGTAGGCTTGAAATAGAGGCTCTGGAGCAGCCTTCCTCGACATTGAGAAACACCCCCGGTCTCCCCTTGTGTTCTCTGTCAGATCGTTGTCTGATGTTCTTGTCTGGTTCCCAGAGGTCCTGCCTGTGTTCCTGCTCTCGTTTCTAGTGTCCTCTGGTCTGTACCATAGACTGTATATAAAAAGGTCTGTACACATTTAATCTTTCTTTATTTTCATTGTTTTGTTTCACCTTGTCTGGTCCCCATGTTATTGTCATTAGCTTTTCTTAAAGGTGGGGTATGTAATTTTGGAGAAACCAGCTCGAGTGCGCTAGAATTCGAAAATACACAGCCGGAAAAAAATCTGCCACTTCCTTAAAGAGCCCCTCCTCCAACACACACAAACGCACACATGACCAATGAGGGCACGAGATAAGTTTGTGCACAGATGGAAGGCTGACAGGCAGGTAAGCCATCAAGTTATTGTAGCCGGGCCGGCTAAAATGATTGGTCGTGCTTTTTACAGTACTACGGCTTCCACAGATGACATTTTTTTATGGATTTTTGTCAAAGCACTTAAGATATTCATTTGCTAGCGGGATGTTAAGAGCATTCCATGGAATATAACAAAAAGTGTATCTCAAGCCGGTTTCTCAAACTTACCTACCCCACTTTAATGTCACACACCTTTTGATTATTCTGAGCTTGAATTCAATCTAATGCAGGTTAGGTTTTTGTGTTGAGTCTTCTATACCAAGGTCATGATGAAGAAAACAAACAAAGTGCCAAGCTCAGCATAAAGCCCACTTAATTTTCCCCAAACACAATGTATGCACATCTTTGACAAGTCACTGCAAAACAACTGTGCATGAACACACATGGGAACAACGTTTAACCAAATCTTCCTTTTGTGCACTGCTGTTGTTATTATGCAACTGAATGTTTCTTCTCTGTTTACTAAGCAACTCAAACGTGTAGGAAACAGCTAGGTGAAATGAATACCCTACATTATATTAGTGTCAGAACCATTTGTTAGTCCTTACACATAGCCTAATTAAAACCAACAATGAGGAATGAGTCCCAAAACCTCAAAATGAGGTAGTATTTTTAATCAATCAATCAATCAATCAAGTTTATTTATAGCCCAATATCACACATTTTACATTTGAATCAATGTGGACTGGACTTTACAGTTTTTACACAATATGAACATGACACCCTCTGTCCTTTGACACTCTTTCTTTGAAGAAACAACTTCCAAAGAAACCCCACAGTTAATGGGGGAAAATTGAAGAAACCTCAGGGAGAGCCACAGAGGAGGGATCCCTCTCCCAGGACGAACAGACGTGCAATAGATGTTGTGTGTCAATGTTACCACTTTTCAGTTTCCTTGTATCAAAGGCAATTGTTTTTTGAACGTGTTTGTGGCCAGGAGCCTGAAATAAGGTTAACACAGGCTGAAGATAATTTATATGTTTTGTTCTCCAACACACAATCCATCAGAAACAACCCGCCTGGAGAATGTAAAATGTTTTTATGTGTCATAAAAACAGCATTTGCTAACAAGTGACTAAATGAGACTACTAAACGTCATCAATCTGAAACGAGTCCTCCATTAGCTAAGCAATGTGAGCAGCCATGCCGCCGTGATGTAGTTTGTTTAAAGCCTGACGCTACTTCTGGTGATTGATTTTACATTTTAAAAATGAAAAAGTGCTGTTAATATGTGGCGATTATCCTGCTGAACAAAACATGGACGTATCATAAATGTGTGTTTAGCTGATTTTCTGCAATATACCAAATTCAATGCTAACTTCTGTGTGGGCCTACAAAAATATGTCACTACGATATTGTATTTCCAACTAAACAGATTAATCTAGGACAGCAAAAACCAACTTCCCTGCCAATTACCTAACCTTGACGCATGCCCCATGCTCCTATTATAGATCTATATATTATAGATCTTCGTGACTCCGAGTCCCTCACAGTCTTTCAGTCCTGCCTCAAAACACATCTTTTCAACTCTGTCTACCCATAAGCCCCCCCCCCCCCTCTCAATCAACTTCCTCTTGACTGCCTTTTTTTGTTTATTTTATTTTGCTATATTTACTTGTCTACCCTCCCTCATACTGTAAAGCGTATTTGAGTTGTGAAAAGCGCTATATAAATAAAATGCATTATTATTATTATTATTAACCAATCACCCCTGTGTGAGATTATAAACCAAAGGCCTTCAACCCAAAAATAGAAACACAACAAGGAGTTTCCTTTCGGGTCGATGCGTTAGGTAGGGTCTGTGGTCCACTAAACTCCCCTGCATGGCCTTGGTAATGGGTATGCTGGGGACGCAGTTGATAGCATGGATTATGTGCGCTGAGCACTAAAGACACAAATCGAGTTATTGAGGCTGCGGTGAGGCAGTGCCGAGATCAATAGCTCATTACATGGGTCTGTCGGGCCGGGGAGGGTAGGCGAGTCTGGCGTCCACCGGGGGGATTACCTGTGTGATTGTAAGGGAGATGGAGAGACGGCCTGGCACAGGAGAGAGGCTGGACCTTGGTCAAATGTAGCTCGAATTTAGCTGTCTGATTTCTCCAGGGACACACAATTTAGCACATAGTACAAAGAATCTCAGTGTGATACAGTGTTTCCCAAAGAGATTCGTATTTTTGGATTCCAATCCTGTGTGAAATATTACAATAGTAATGTGGGTTGCTGTTGAACCTCATGAATTTGTATTCACTTCTGTCCCTGGTGGTTTTCACTTGATGTGGACTTGTTAACATTGGTTGAGTCAAGACTGCTGCCATTAACACCAATTATCACTTTCTTTCTATTTTTTCTAGTTTGGCAGAACAGAGGTAATCGATAACACTCGGAATCCAGATTTCGTCAGGAAGTTTGTCCTGGATTTCTTTTTTGAAGAGAAACAAAATCTAAGGTTTGATGTGTAAGTAACCTGACAGCATTTCATTCACTTTTTCTGAATAAATCTGAATTCATTTATTTCTAAACTTGGGTTCTACTTCAGTATGGGTTCACAGCAACAAGCCAAAAATAGCAATGCCTTTGATCACATTGGAATACATTCTCTCTGTCTCTGCAGGTCTTCTAATGAAAAGCTCATTTTGCCCGATTGGGATAAATGAACAGGCTAATGGGGTTAAGATTAAATCTTAGGGGTCCAATCAGGGAAGGAGATTTAAAAAAAAAAAAAAGGTTTCTTGCGAAGGTTGCTTGATAGCCTCGCTGATTAAATTAATGTCTATATAGACACTTGGCTATTCTGTTCAGTTTACCTACCTGTTATCCTTAATCGATAACAGTGAAAGATCCCTTAGATGCCTCTATGGCTTCAACCAAGGCAGGAAAGTGATTTTATGTCTCTGCTGTGTCTGTAGGGCTGGAGCTGATATACAGTTTGAACATAAAACTGGAACAGGAACATTGTTTGTGATGATTATATTGTGTTGGTGTTGTTCATAATTCATACCTCTGAGCATTCCTTATGCTTTGAAAAGTATTCCCTATTTTCAATCTCCAAATAAGCCCTGCGAAACAACCCAGATACAACAATATAATTTGAAAATAGCAACACTCTCAGATATTCTTTATTATTGGCTCTTTTAGGTCAGTCAGATTTAAAAATAAATAAATATGGGAACAAGTTGTGCTAAATGATAAACTGTGCAAGACAAGTAACTTGGAATATGTTAAGCATATTCCTTAATAGGTCAAAACATTGTTGCCTGCTTTTTCTGCAAGAATTATACAACTATTTTGTCTTGGTTTAATAATTAAGCTAGAACTGGGAGTCCATTAGCTTAGCATGTAGATAGCATATCATTTAGCTAACATGTGTCTTTCAAATGTTTTAAACTATGTCTTTTAGGCTAAATTCTTGTTACATTACTTGCCGTTGGTCAACACAGTTTTGGAAAACTTAACCTCCAACAAACTTCAAACCTGCCTGTCTTTTCTGTTTATGTACACTGAACAAAAATATAAACGCAACACTTTTGTTTTTGCTCCCATCACTAAAACATTTTCTATATACACAAAATAACCATTTCTCTCAAATATTGTTCACAAATCTGAAAAAATCTGTGATAGTGAGCACTTCTCCTTTGCCGACATAATCCATCCCACCTCACAGGCGTGGCATATCAAGATGCTGATTAGACAGCATGATTATTGCACAGGTGTGCCTTAGGCTGGCCACAATAAAAGGCCACTCTGAAACGTGCAGTTTTGTTTTATTGGGAGGGTCTAACCCTAACCCTAACATGTCACCCACTGACATGTTAGGGTTAGGGTTAAACCCTAAAACATTTTTTAATGTGTCAG